CTATTTATTACATAAAAAAATACGTAGGTAGTAACTATATTGTGGCCAATAAGAACACTATTGGCGCTATAAAATGTCTTTAAAATTAAATTAAAACGTTTGGAAACAAGTGAGTGACAAATAAATTACCCACAACGAGACTAATATAGCAACAGTAATATATCTTCCTTTCGTCGGTCCACCCAATTCCGCTTTTCCAAAAAACTCAACATTTCTACGGACCATTAATACAGTTACAGCCAAAATCGCCATAACAGAATACAGAAGAACATTAAAACCAATACGATTTGATGGAATTTCGAACAAGTTTCCCTAAAAATAAAAATAAATACAAATGTTATAATATAATTTTATAGCTATAATATTATTTATCGAAGTGTGCTAAATTAAAAAAATGTTTACATGTAAGTAGTGATACAAAGCAGCGATAAACCATGGCAGTCCGACACCCATCAATACTTTTACAGCTATTGAACCTGCAATGTGTATCATTGCCTCATCTGCGTGGGTTTCCGCTCGAGTAACCATACAGGCTCCCAAAATATCTGGCAGTGACATTCCGAGTGCTACTATTGTGATTGCTGTAATAATAAATTGAAACTAATGAGTGAAATGTTTAAATTAAGTATAGACAAATAAAAATGACCATTACATCATTAGAAATTATTACCAGTTACGGCATCGTCTAGTCCAATTAAACAACCGAAAATTGTAGCTAAATCGCCAATTATCGTGGCCATGACTCCTATTAACGTCAAGGAGGTGAAAAATCTTAACCAACCAGAAAACACGGCTGCTGGGGGTATAAAAGCAAATATAACTTTCCAAAAAAACGAAAAAAAATGAAACACATAAGTTAAAGTTGTTGCATTGGTCAAATCKCCACCGTTCACAGTCATCGCTGTTTTAACTTGTTCTGCCCAAGTTTGACGGTGCAACTCGAGTGCATGAATATTAATGTTAGTCAACAACATCAGACGATCGACCACTGAATCAAAATCTAAAATTCCAAACACACAATTATTATAATTTATATAAATACGTTGAAGAAGATCTGAATTTTTGAAACAATAAAAATACACTTGCCATCGTCACTACTGATCGTGATGGCTATCCTGTTAACATTTCCAATTTTCGCACCACCTGTTGTTTCAAATAATTTGATTTCAAAACATTCGTCCTTCTCCGGACACATGTCATTGATTATTTCAATTCGCAGTATTTTAGCTACTTCTTTATCTTTGAAAATAATTTCACCCTCGCCGCCTACATAATCTCGTCCGGAAATGGCCGATTCATCAATAGTCTTCCATTTGACACTGACCTCGCTGTCTGATCCATGCGTTCGAACAATGGGCACCTCGACGAAACCAGTGCTCTCTTTTACTARTAGGCCTCTTTTACCAAAGCTTATAATACCCGGTTCTGAAATAAAATCACAAAATGTATTATTTACATTAAATACATTTTAAGTAAATAAACAAATTTGATTACCATCGTTGTCGATTATAGTCACTTCCATTATTGAAATACACCCAAGTTTTACCGATAATTCTTTATGGTGAATCACAGACATTCTAAGGAAAAACTCTTCATCTGGTTCCCATTTATTATCATCGAGTATCTCGATAAAAATCTAGTTAAGAAAATAGTATTAAAATGTAATTAAAAATAAAAACAAATCTATATATAATCTCATATTGGTATATCGTCWACTATTATTTATAATAATTATATTTGTTTATCAATTTATCATACTTCTTTTTCTTCTTCATTTTCTTTAAATTCGACAATCTCCTTCACTTTCACAAAATCTTCTCCTTCTTTAGCTGTTCCATTGATACTATCCACTCTGTAATTTCAATATAAATCAGTTTGTTTTGATTATAATTTATACCAATGTATACATGATAAATATATTTTACATTTACCTAACAGTTGCTTTTGTGTTTAGATTTCCGTGTCGCCAAATAGTGACAGGAAATTTTCCTATATTTTCTTTAACCGCAATGGTGGGGGCGTGGAACTCTATTATCGCATATTTTTTTTCATCATTTTGTGAAAAATTAGGTGGCTTATTGTTTAATGTATTATCGTATCCTTTCTCGCCATTTTGTTTTATCACGTCATAAATCTATATTGTAGGGTATTATATTTTTATTAGGAGATTTAATTAATTTACGTACAATATATAATTCATGATTTAAATAATTTATGTTCTATACTTGTYTAAGATGGTCTTCTAAAATAGGCTCTATTTGCTTGCCACCGGTAAGACGTCTAACTGCTCCAATGCGATACCACATAGCTCCACGATGTGTTGAATCGATCAATTTGGTAGCTGCAAGCTTTGCTGCCTCTGCATCAGTTATCCCGGAGTATTTTTTTACATTTTTTACGAATTTAATCAAATTTTCTTTGTCTATTTTTCCATTGTTTAAAATTAATTGCTTTTTCGTTTCATCTGTTACAGTATAATATATATATATCTTATATGTATAAGCTTAACACAATAACAAGTATAGTATACGCGATTTATTTACCTGTATACCTAATTATGTTTAATAATTAATAACTTACTCTGATCTAGGTCTAAGTCTAGTTGATGTGTGTTATGTTCAGTGCTTTTTCCACACCAATTTTTATCGGTAGCATAAGCGAAAAACATGAGGATTGGAAATAACAAGAACGTCGCCGCAGCTTCCCATAATTCAATAACATTTGGCGAAATTACTTCGATTATTAAAAGAAGCCAAATATAGGCGAAGAAACTAAATGCACCAATCACTAAAAATACCTAAATACATGATAAAATATTTTTAGTAAAAAATATGCATGTAAAGATTTAGTTAAGAATATTTTAAGAATTTACTTTTAAGTCATGTATTCTTCTTTTTTCGTTTAAGCTTAACGAAAGTGTACATAGACTAGTAATTATTAACAAATTGAAAGCAGCAGATCCAACAATGATGTTCGGTCCTAATTTTCTAGCTTCAAAATGATGGCCCACCGTTTCAATGATAGATAACAAAATTTCCGGTGAAGAAGTACCTGTATATATTTGTTTACAAAATTTATTTCAAAATGTATATTTAAATTTCAAAATTCAAAATGTTATTAATACTAACCTAGAGCCATCAATGTGAGATTTGCAATCGTTGGATTCCATATACGTACTTCAATCACTTCGGGTTGATCCGGTCGAAGAGAAACGTCCGAGCCATTTGGATTTAACTCTTTAGCCAAATAAACTTTTTTTGTATGACTAGTAATTTTGTCAATAGCAGTCATAAATACATCAGMAACAATAGATATTCCCAATAGGAAATAAAGCAACGTAAATAAATAAACAACCATTCGTACTTTGATTGGCCATAGTCGTTCGTCTAGAATTGGCAAAATTAATCCACCAGGGCATACATCATCCGGACCCCACGGGTATCTACTTGCATTTCCGTGGCCCATAATTATCTAATGAAAAAAAAATCGATTACAATTAAATGTTTAAAAGCAACATTAAACAGATTAATGTTATATAAATAAGTTTAAATAACCTAAAAACGTTAAAAAATCATTATTAGATATATAATAAATATATTTATACCAGAATGTATAGTGTGTCAATAAATTAATAAGTGATTTCAAAATTCAAATTAAGTAAAGGTGTATACAAATATAGAATGAAACTGGACAAGACTCTGTATAGTGGCATGACTCACCGTAAATTTACGCCCTCTTTATTGTACTATCTCACTATAATATGGATGCGTATATTAAATTTGAATTTAATGAAAAATCATTCTTTACGAAATACGATTTTGACTATTTTTATTAGTCATCCTGCATTTATATCTTATAATTTATTAATATATAAAATATATTACTATAATACTGTATTATAAGTATTTGATATCTTATTGTTAGAAATTCGGTAGGTTCAATGGTAGGTTTTTGATGTAAATATCTAAATTATCAATTATCATGATATAAAGTTATTGAAAGTTAAAAAAWTTTTTGAATTTTAACTAGGTATAAAATAATTTATATATTTTGTTAAACTTTAAACACTGAGAAATAATACTACTTAGTACACTTATTAATATTTTATTAATTGCTGTATGAACAGCTTATGAGGAATGTCACATATATTTTCAAGGTATTTAATTTATAAATACAAAATTGTTTTATACATATTATGTACAAAGGAAAAAAAATAAATAGAATATTTGCTAATTTAAATATTAAAAACAATTTTTAGTACCTATCAATGGTTTTATTTATTTTTTATCAGTTTATCACAAACAATAAATAACAAAAATCAATTTTGTCAAAAACTGCAGTTGTTATGTAAATATTCTCAATATTACGGCGCGAGCACCATTTACATACATAATATATGTCATTATCACTAAACTCTTGTA